CCAACACTACAAGAGATTCTTGGAAACTTTACAACTGGTTTAATTCAACATCCTATACGCTCCTCTCCAGCACACAGCAAAGGTCTAAAAGTATTTTTTTTAAAAATATGTTTCTCTCTCTCTCTCTCTCTCTTTCATTCTTTAGTAATTACACATTTAAAAACGTGTGCATTCATGTGCATCTTTAGTGCATTGGAATGAAAAGAAAGATATCATTAGTTGATGATTTGATTGACTAAGTAACAAATGAGGCAGCAACTGAATGTATCACAGTCCATGCAATTATAACTCCTAATGCTGTCAAACTGAAATTACATCAGTAAGAAATACTGTTTACCTGTCGTGTCATCCATGCGGTGTGGGCGTGACTTCACTTGGCTTCTCAGTCGCCCTCTCCTGGATAAAACTGTGAATAGCCATGTGTTAGAAACTGCTAAGGATTCCTACATTTTAGCAGAAAATAACACTCCAGGGGGAGCTCTTGAGCGGCTGACTTTATTCACAGACGTCTTTCAAGTCTAACTTCTAATGATACACACTCTATCTCTATCTCTATCTCTCTCTCTCTCTCTCACACACACCTGTGCACACTCACACACACGCACTCGCACACACAAACTGGCTGGAAGACTGTTTTTATACAGGCGTGTAATACCTTCTTGATAAAAAGACAATTGATTTCACAGGTTATTTCATTTGGATGTATTTTTTCCGATGACTGACTTTCTTTGTCACTTTTTAGACTGTTGTACGGTCACATTGGATTTGAAAGCAAAACCCTTTCCTCCATACATCCACGCTACCAGAAAGACCACAGCATCCTGAATCCAACCATACCGGTTATGTGCAGATCGGACCTCTGCTTCACCACATACGGCCAGATAAGCTTTGGCCAATCAGATCGCATATGCTAATGAGGGTCGAATTAATGAGGGTGAAACTCGTTTTTATCTATATACCTAACCCTAACCCTAACCCTAAATCAACATCTAAAAAGATCTAAATCTAGCCCTGAACCAACACTTTCCCAAATTCTACCGTTCGTAGACTTATGGACCTGAAACCTAGCCTTCCCAAACCGAATATCGAAACGCCCAGTTAGGCTAATCTCTTAGAAGGGAACAAAACAAAACCAACAGGAATATCCTTTTCACAATCTCCTTACTTCCTGGTCCTCCACACTTTCAGCACAACGCCCAAATAGGCTTTTCTCCTGGAAAGGAGATGGATCAAGGCTTTCCTGGTATAGTCTAACAGGCGTAGGCCCGTGCACGCATCCTCAGTCTCCCTACTCCAAACCTTCCTAGACGGGTGCTAGGTCGGGGGGAGCTGTTGTAATTTTTCAAAACCTAACCCTTACCCACTGACTTAACCTTTTTTATTCCAAGACCTACCCATTTGAACCCTCAAAATGTATTAAATTTACTCAATCCACCCCGAATTGTTTCCTCTGACAGCAGAATTATAGAAAAATTTAATTACTTTACACATACACATTCAAGATAAGAAGTGGAAAACATGATGATATGCTGGGATGATGGGCTCTGGCCGTGGGGCCAGGCCCGAGCTGGACCGAAAAGTGGCCAGAAGGAGTCGAAGGACAGCGCACAACCGAAATTGAACTGTTTCGATTTCTGGATTTGTTCATTCCCTAACCCTAACCCTAACTACAAAACTCAGACAGATACGTCATGCCAAAAAATATGCTCACAGGAAGGGGGACAATGAATTTTATAAACAGGCTAAATACACACTGGAAAAAGAGTCCAGAGTGGCAAAGAGGAAGTATTCTGAAAAAATAAGGATTCAATTATTTTCCAGTGACTCAGCATCAGTGTGGAAAAGTCTGAAAGAAATCACCAACTACAAGGCACCATCCCACAGCACTGTGGAGAATCAACAACTGGCAGACGATCTGAATGAGTTGTACTGCAGGTTTGAAAAAACACCCCACACCCGCCCTGAACACCTCTCCACACAACCATTCAAAAATCCAGCAAACCCCCTCTCCTGCAATTCAGATCAGCGAAGACGAGGTGCGTCAGGTCTTCCGGAAGCAGAAAAGGAGAAAAGCACCAGATCCAGATTGTGTTACACCAGCCTGTCTGAAATTCTGTGCTGACCAGCTGGACCTCATCTTCACACAGATCTTCAACAGATCACTGGAGCTGTGCGAAGTACCTTCATGCTTCAAACGCTCCACCATCATCCCCATCCCGAAGAAATCCAAAATTAAAGCACTTAATGATTACAGGCCTGTGGCTCTAACGTCTGTGGTCATGAAGTCTTTTGAAAACTGGTGCTGGCCCACCTGAAGGACATCACTGGACCCTTGCTGGATCCTCTTCAGTTTGGCTACAGAGCAAACAGGTCTGTGGACGATGCAGTAAACATGGGACTGCATTATGTTCTGCAACATCTAGACAGACCAGGGACTTATGTGAGGATTTAACACCATCATCCCAAACCTCTTCCTGCCCAAACTAACTCAGCTCTCCGTGCCCACCTCCATCTGTCAGTGGATCAACAGCTTCCTGACAGACAGGCAGCAGCTAGTGAGGCTGGGAAAATACACATCCAGCACCCGTACGATCAGCACTGGAGCTCCTCAGGGTTGTGTTCTCTCTCCACTGCTCTTCTCCCTGTACACCAACGACTGCACATCTAAAGACCCCTCTGTCAAGCTCCTGAAGTTTGCAGACGACACCACACTCATCGGCCTCATTCAGGACGGTGACGAGTCTGCTTACAGACAGGAGGTCGAGCAGCTGGCTGTCTGGTGCAGTCTCAACAACCTGGCGCTCAACACGCTAAAAACTGTGGAGATGACCGTGGACTTCAGGAGAAACCCCTCTGCACTCCCCCCACTCACCATCATGGACAGCACTGTGACTGCAGTGGAGTCATTCAGGTTCCTGGGCACCACAATCTCTCAGGACCTGAAGTGGGACACTCACATTGACTCCATTGTGAAAAAGGCCCAGCAGAGGTTGTACTTCCTTCGCCAGCTGAGGAAGTTCAACCTGCCACAGGAGCTGCTGAAACAGTTCTACTCTGCCATTATTGAATCTGTCCTCTGCACTTCAATAACTGTCTGGTTCAGCTCAGCTACCAAATCTGACCTCAGAAGACTTCAGAGGGTAGTCCGGACTGCTGAGCGAATCATTGGTACAACCCTCCCTTCTCTCCAAGAACTGTATTCGTCCAGAGTGAGCAAAAGGGCTGGCAGAATCACTCTGGACCCCTCACATCCAGCACACTCCCTCTTTGAACTGTTGCCATCTGGTCGACGCTACAGAGCTCTGAGCACCAGAACGACCAGACACAGGAACAGTTTCTTCCCTCAGGCCATCCATCTCATGAACACTTGACAATAACTGTGGAACACACACTATTTATTCACTCATACACTTATTTATCTATCTATACTCAGTCTACATTTCAATTTGCACATAATATACTTGTACATACAATTGTCGATTTGTATTTTTTTTATTCCTTATTTTACTTGTTCTATTTTTTTATTTATTTTTATTTTTTATTATCTGTGTTTTTTTGTTCTGTCACTGTCATTCTGTTACACTGTAGAAGCTTCTGTCATGAAAACAAATTCCTTGTATGTGTAAACATACCTGGCAATAAAAGCTCATTCTGATTCTGATTCTGCTATCATAAAAATACACTTATATGTAGGATTACAATTCTACATGTGTCAGATTTAATGTCCAACAACAAATATTTTAGCAGAATGCATATTTTATTCAGAATTATTGTGCAATTATTCTATTGTGTTCCATCTGTTTAGCTCGCATGTGCGCAGCAGTGCTCGTTCACTCACGTAAGCCTTGCCCACTCCTGACAGCAAAATGGATATGTTTGCATGACTTTCTAACATTTACAGATGAAAAAATACCTGTGGGATGTCAGTTAAGCACTGAGGAAAACACAATGTCTTAAATGCATTAAAACAGCACAAATATTCGCTGTTTGCCATGGTGGATCGATTTGATCCATGATCGACATTAATTGCTACTTAAGAATAAGCGTGCACATCAAATTATCCTGACTCATTGAACCTGGATCGAATTAGTGAGATTGCGTGAACTTAAATGATAATTTATGAAACCGCTTTAGTCCCGATTGATTTGTTAGGATATTTCAAGTCAGGGTTTGGACTTTAATCCCTGCTTTTCTTAACGTCTTTTATGAAACAGCCCCCTGTTGTCTGTCTAAGATTTTATTTTGAGCATAAAGTGAGCTGCAACAGTCTAACCTTGAGAAGATAAACGCATAAATAAACTTTTCCAGATATTTACAAGATAAAAAAGGCTTAATCTTAGAAAACCTTCTCAAATGGAAAAAGCTCATTTTGACAACTTTATCTGTTTGTCAAATTTCAACACACTGTCACAAACCACACCCAAGTTCTTCAGCTGATGTTAACCAAAAGGACTTAAATGCATGTTTGAGCTGTTTTAACTGAAAGCAACATACACATCTTAAAATGTCAGTGCTTTTTCTTAAGACGTACACCAGCACCCTTACGGAACAGAAATATATGTTACTATACTGCAAAATATACTGCAATATATTACACAACACATTTCCATATATTACACAACACATTTCCATATATGGGAAACTAGTGCTTATTATTTTCAATATACTGCAATATATGCATTGACCATGTATGGGTATATATTTAGAAATGAAGACAAAAATACATCTAATATTCATAATGTTTGATCCTTTATTGAATATATATTGCACATTCATGTTCCCAGATAAATGTGGATGTATATACACACGTATACACACACATTCATGGAATGAGTTACAGCAGGTTTCTTGTTTCCAGCATGCTTTGCTTCTGACTGTGAAAGGAGGGTAAAAATGTTAAAATTAAGTGTTATATTATGTGTTTTTGCTCAATATTATTATAGGGGGAGATCTGTTAGTGTTTAATGTTGTAATATTTTGAAATTTAACAGGGTTTCTGGTGTGTGTAAGTTTGTAGGATTACTGTTGTGCTGAAGAGTAGAGCCTGTGGTTAGGATGACGACTGGCCGAATACCATTAAGACATTATATTACTTTATGTAAAAAGTAATGGCTGTGCACTTTTCAGCACAGTGATAGTCTGTTCACTAAGTGCTTTAGTATGAGCAGGTGTACTTATGCTATTGTAAACTAGCTATATTTTAAAATATGAAGCATAGACTGTAAGTGATCTTTAAATGTAAGGTTCCATATGTGTATAAACTGCATGAGTAAATATATGTTCAATCTATTTTTACACATGCAGTACCATATCTTATAACATGTACATCTACAGTATATATTATAAAGTGTAACTGAATATAAAATTACATACATTGTGATATAAGCAAATATATTTTTGCATATTTTTTGTATATGATAGCGGCAATTCCTTGTGTATTATTCACTATACTGTAATATATTTACACAATATATTATTCTGTATATTTTATAATATACTGTTATATAATTTAATATATTGATCATTCATATATTAGGAAATATATTTTCTTTACGTAAGGGTAATGCTTTTTTTTAAATAAGAAACCTTTATAAAAGTTACTTAAATGTCTTAATTGAACTAAGGCCAAATCCTGGCTAAATCTAAGCCCTGTCTGTACAATCAGGCCTTAAAAGAGGCAATCTAATCCTGTTTACATGAAATAAGCTGCTCCTGAGTGGGTTTGATCTTACAGACCCATTGCTTTGACAAAAACTCCAGGATGAGCTTCAAAGAACCTAAGAATCCTGAATCATGTCAAATTGTCAACAGTAAGATAATGTAGTGATCCACGTATAAAGAACAGGTCCTAGAACTAAGCTGCGTAATAAATAAAATTCATGAATATAATGAAAATGTAAATAAAAAGAGATGACTTTCTTACATTACATTTCTTTATTTTCAATATTTGCCTTGGGTAACAAGGTTGCTGTATATATTCACCCACACATCATATACTATTACAGTCACAATCACAACAGTACTTTACTGTTTAATACTTAATTACTACTTTTACTGTAGTTTTACTGATAAATTATCACATCATATTAATATCTCATTTTGCGCTGCTGAATCAACATTTTCTTTGTAAAATATCATGACACTAGTACTTACTACAGAAAATCTCAATCTATACATGAAGTACAGGCACTAAATTATCCATTAACATATCTTTACAATTGTCATTGTAGACAGTATTTTAAACATAATTCAGCATACAAAACAATGTATTTGGAAATTACTATAAATCTTACTAATACTATTATTTGGATCAATTCATTAATTAAAATGTTAAGTCCATTTAATTCAGTTATGTTAAGTCCACCTTTTTAATCTAGATGAACTTGAGTAAATTGCATTGTTTAATTGAGTACCATACTACTAACTGTACCCCATTTCACATCAAACTGTCACAAATTTCCAAGAAAGTTCTTGTTTTGAGGCTACAACAAGATTGCTTTAGAGAAATACAAATTACAAATCATAAGTATGTGGAATATCTCTCATCTTCACTCTGATATCCATCTACACAGTGTTCCTCAAGGATTTTAATGAGAGTTGCCAGTGTGCTATTTGGATCCAACAAAGTCACTAAAGGGACATTCACACCTCTTTCATTAAAGATAAGATTCTGCAGAGTCATGGCTAACATTGAGTCAATGCCTAAGTTGAAAAGATGAACATCATCATTCAGCTCATCCATCTCAATACCAGTCGTTTCACTAATCATGAACCTCAGATAATCATGTGGTGAGGATGATTTCTTGGGTTGTTCAGGTCTAGTGAAATTTACTCCAGCTTTACTAATAGCTTCCTGTGCTATTTTGAACAAGCGTACATTCAGTGTTTTGTTCTGACTGAGAACGTTATTCCAGTTGTTTTTAAAATTGAATTTGCATACAACCTGTTGAGGTTTGTTGATCAAGAGGCACTGCTCAAGACTGTCATGGATTTCTGGAATCTCCAAAAGCATGATTCCCCTTGCCTCCAGAAATTTTTGGACATGAACTTTGTTCAACAAAAGACCAAGATTCAAAGCTCCCCAATTAATGGACTGTCCAGAAAGGCCAATGTTTCTGCGATACTGACAAAAGGTGTCCAAGAATGTATTAGCCGCAGCGTAATTAGTTTGTGAGGCATTGCCAATGAAGGCAGCGATGGAGGAATAGCACACAAAGTAATCCAGATTACACTGTAAGGTAGCACGGTGAAGGTTAATCACTCCATTCACTTTTGGCCTCATGACTTTCTCATAAAGAGTTTTGTCAAGATGTTCAATCAGCCCATCGTGCA